AGACAAGGATGCTTTTACTCAGAGCTCAATTAAAAGCCATAGAGAAGTTTTGTAATAAATTCTCTTCTTCCTGATGTTTCTGGTGCCTGATTCAGAATTACGTATTCAAACAAAATTTAAGTTTACCTGATTTTTTTGTTATGGAGGATTTTGTCCATGCATTGGAGCTTGGTGTTCTCTTTGGGGAAGTAATAATGAAGTCAATTAACCGATAAGCAAAAGCTTATAGATTAATTCTGTGGACTACATGCATTTCTCCCCCTCCACCCTGCCAGTACATTTTTTAGCAGGCTGGCCAGCAGCCCAACTCAATCCTGTCTCATGCTAGGTCCAGAACCTACTCCTGCTGTGGCTCTGCATTTAAAGTGTATCAGGAGCCAGGCAGGCAGCCTGGCTCCATTCTGGTTTGCACTGGGTCCAAGAGTTCAACCCCCAGCCTGGACAGCAGCATGGGGTGACAGGCAGCTGGTCTGCAAGGGGAGCTGGTTTTTAAACTGGCTCACCTTACGGACCAGTTCCCGTCTGGCACCCTGCACTGCTGCCTCTGGTTCAGTGCACTGTCATGGGGCTCCTCGGGAGTGGGGCTGGAGCGCACTGGCTGCCAACCTCACCCCTAAAGACTATAGAATAATTGAGTAACTGATAAGAATTCATGAGGTTAATTGACTATTCAATTAACCAATATCCCTAGTTCTCTTTCATGCATTCCTAGAGTGCTCTATAGAGAGGAGCAGTAGCGTATGCTGTGCTTTGTGTGCAGCTGCTCACAGTTTCTACTGTGCCACAGAGCAGATAAATATTTCCTCCATTTTAGGTAGTTTTGTCAGTTCTTTGGGGTCAGGGACCATCTTTTTGTTCTGTGTTCATTGTCTAACATAGCAAGATCTGAGTGGGTGATTTACATCCTAGGCACTACTATAATAGAAATAATATGTATCCTGGGGATATCATAACATTTTAGAGCAGGTGAGGGTGGATTTCCAAGCTAGAAGACTCTTTGGTCAAAGTCAGGAACATACAACCTGTCATAAAATTCTTTTGAGGCTTGATCTCGCAAGGTGCTGAGCACTCTGGGCCTGGTTCTGATCCAGCAAAGCACTTAAGCACATGAGTAGTCTCACTGATTTTAGTAGCTCACAGCTTGGAGACAGGCACATGCTTAAGCATTTAGTTAGATTGGTGATGAAGTGCACGCAATTGAGTCCTATGATCTTACTGCACTGCAAGGCTTGACACTTACAAGAGTCTTATTTAACTTCAGGGGAGGATGGTATAATGGGTGACACGGCATTCTGTAGCCATCTATAAGTTTGCATTTTCATGCACATGCATGAAAAGTTCACATTTTGTAGCATGTGCAGAATCAGGCAAGGGCTTCGCTGCTGAGACATTTTGTTGGAGAATAATATTTTATGGCCTGTGAATAATGTAATAGTGATGCTATTTTTATTTTCTCAGTGTTGCCTGGGGAGTGGGTTGAATAATGTCATTTAATAGTGGACTGTCATTTTGCTGGAATATATTTCAGTAAATATAAAACCTCAGGGTAGTGCTTAAGGACTATCTCTGGAACATTGGTTTCACTATATGTGGCTGGTTCTTGGAAATAGGTTTCCTGAAGTTAGGCTTGGTTTACACATTCTTGTAAGCACAGAGAACATTATAAAAAAAATCACTATTCATACGGATATACTGGTAAAGTGGAATTTTTAACTGTAGTATGTGAAAAAGAAGACTGTACTGTAGCAATTAGCAACTGCCACTTGCAGTGTTTACATAAAGCCCAGCAAATTCACTCCTGTGCTGATGGCCAGCCCAGTGTTCAAGTCCCATACAAGCCCCCATAATGACTTTTTAAGCAGTGTAGCAGCAGAGAACTAGACTGGATGCAAGAATGAAGAGTTCTAAAGTTAGATCCTGAACTTCCAAACACATACAGGCAGGAGCAGTTCTAATGGAATCACACCAACAAGGGTTCCAGGACTAGGGCCTTACATTGTAAGAGCTTCGTAATAGACCAGACCTCCCTTCAGCAAGTTGGCATAACTACAGGTACCTGTAATGTGCAGCCACTTTGGCCCACATCCACGAAGGAGCATCAGAGTCTGAATCTCAGATTGAGGTACAGGCAGTCCCCGACTTACGCGGATCCGACTTATGTCGGATCCGCAGTTACGAACGGGGCTGCCCCGGAGTACACGGACTGCGGGACCTCACGGTCCTGCCGCCTGTGTACTCCGGGGCTTTCTCCGCATCTCCCTGGTCTTCAGACCAGGAAGACGCGGAGCAAAGCCGCGGAGGGGCTCGGGCAGCGGGGCAGCCCAGTCGCCTTATACGCCGGAAAATACGGTAGGCCAAAATTTCAAGATTTGCCTTTTATA